TCCATGGCCCCGTTCAACCGAATCACAAATTTTCATCTCTCTAAATCTTCGTCTGTTCTTACTCGATTGATATTTGCTTCGCCACATCCTTCATCGCAGGTCTTAGTTCATACCCTTGATCATTTTGCTTTTCGCAATCAAACTGAACCCCATCGTCTGGATCATGGCTTTGAATGTTTTAGCAAAATCTTCAATTATCGGCGGGTTGTCACTGTAAACAAGTACCTTTTTCTCTCCATCTCTCCGTTTCGTTAGCTCTTCTTTCTGTTTCACTCTGTATTCCTTGCCCTCTCATTGTTTCAGTCTCGTATCCTCTCTTTAATTTGTCTCCAATCTCATTCTCACTCACCTTTACCTCACTAGTTAACTCACTACAAATTCAACTAATCTCACTATTCAACAGTTTCCGACAATGTATAAGAAACAAATTTTGATATCGAGTCGCATTTACAGTACTTTTTTCAATTTTATTTTCATACAATTTTATTCCAACTGTATTTCTCTTCATACTCTCACATACTGGATAAATCTCAAATACCACTTGATCGCTCATTTTCTTGCCTTGATTCATCTCATTTTGTAATACTTTGTCTTAATTCGCTAATAAATTAGGCCCTGAATTTTGTTTGTTTGTAATTTGTTTCAAACATCAATCTTTTTGTTTCGGTTGCATTTTTTTCTCCATCACCATTCCAACTAGTCATTGTCTGTTGAGCCGACATAATGCAATTCCTTTTTTCTTAAAGTTGACATACTCTTCTCAAAACAACCTTATGAGTTTTTCACATAACAACCTTGCTTCTCTTCTAAATTCCTCTTCGCCAGACAATTTGGTTACCTCGTTGAACTTTCTGATCTTTTGATCCCTCATCACTCTATTTTGTTCAAAACGACTTCTCCATGTTTCACAATTTTAACCCTATCGATATCCCAATCTTTGGCTGGTTTTACTTGTGAACAATGAACATGAATTAAATGTTTCCCATGATAACATCTGGAAATCCCTCTATCCATCGCAAGGATCTTAACCGGGCTCAACCAATAATTTTTCACTTAAAATTTTAGTTTGTACTTCTTCTAAATCTCTAACTAGGTAATCATGACGAACGTTTCTTTCTCTTTTTATCACTCAATTTTGTGTCACTTTTGATTTTACAAAGTTTTTTCGGGCTTTCTCTGCTCCTAATAGGTGTCCTTTCAGGACTCGTATATCTGCATCGTCAAATCCGGCGGCCTTTCCTCAATCAAATTTTCGTTTTTTGGATTTGATCAATAAAATCTCTGGCAACGGGAAGTTCCATTTACATCCAACGTTGAAATTTTTGCAAAAAAAGGCATGGGCTAAGGTTACTTCTTACGAGAAGTCCCAAAAAATTTTCTTCGCAAAGGATCCTTAAGATGCCCTTTTTGATCACATTATGTCCTTTGACAAACCCAATAGTGACAGGTGCGTTTACTGCCGTTATCCTTACTAGGCACCCAAAGGTTGACATTAGTAGCAAAAATAGGTCAGTATTGAATTAGCCACCTAAATCGTGTATTACATTGCTTGGTGTACCAGAGCCCATGAATCAACCTATTACAATGTTCTGCCTGATTATGACTGGTTTCTTTGATTCGACTTCGGTCATAACTGAAAATCGTGAGAACTCATCTATCACGAGTAATCAAAATACTTTTCGTTTTAGAGTCGATCGATTCAGCGTGATCAATCACCGCCGAGTCTTCACTTTCTTTACAGGCTGTATAATTTGAAATTACACTCCCAACTACCTCATCAGTGTTTTTAAATCGCATACTCTCCATCATTCCGTATTCATCAAGGAACTTTTCCATTTCATGTTTAATGCACTGACATGTCCAAATCTCAAACGAATATCTATTATTCTTTTTCTGTCAATTTCCTCATTACGAGTTCTTTCTGTCCAATAAATTTTCTCCTCTCTGTTTTAAACCTTTTGTTTCATTTTCGACTTTTGACAATCTACCTGAAAATTCCTTATCCGTTGTCCCACACCTGACTCTCCAGCTTAAAACTTAAAACTCGCTCACGGTCCAGTGTAAAATATAAAACTCGCTAAACAGTTCGACTTTAAAACCAACGATTTTACCCGAGAAAAGACAGGTTTTTTGAAAAAAAGTTTGTACATCGAGAAGCTACTTGTTTTTCGTTTTCGTTTTCTCTCGAATTTTTAATGCAGCTCAGCTCCAATAGCGCTACTGAGGTTATCTTTTGATCTTGCTTTTGGTACTATTGGAGAAAAAAAACAATCTCAATCCAAATTATATCCCGCTTTCTTTTGTTCAAGAAAGGGGGATTGTGACGTAAATTAATGCAGTCGAATTTTCGAACAATCAGAGTGCAGCAAAATTTAAATTATGAACAAAACGCTCTAGTGCTAGTTCACTGTTTTTTTATATGATTGGAAACTCTTTATAGTAGATGTCATAAGGGGATTGTTAAGTGGATCCCTTTGTTCGAACAAAAAGCAATTTCAACATATTTTGTACTCTCAAAAAACCCTAAAAATCCTGTTTTACTCTTTTACAAAATCATATTTTGAGCTGATTTTGAAAAAATGGGCCCTGAAATTATTAATTTGAGAAGGATGTTTGCGATCAATAAAAAAATGTAGAAAGGTCAACATCGGTTCACTGTATTAAAAATAACGACGAGAATAATTACATTATATGAAACAAAGCGATAATTATAAAAGGAGATATTGTAAATGATTAGTTTGTTCTGTTAATGATTGCTATTTTTGGAGTATAATTTTCAACCGAACACATAACTGTGGAAATCGAGAAGACGAGTTCGCGAGAACATTATCAATCTCACTTCAATTCAGTTTATTTTCTGTTTCTTTAATTTCGAGGGTGATGCTGTTGATGCTGTGCTTGATGTGATCACAGCTTTGATCCATTTCAGATGGAAGGGCACACTTGAGAAAAAAGAGCCATGTGTACACTTCACTAGTTTAGTCAAACTGCTCGACTTGGCAAAGCTAGCCACGCCATAGACACACCTGAAGCAAAGATAGCAGGTTACTGTGCAAGTAGCACAGAATGTTCCCATCATAGTGTTAGAAAATACAGATTTTAGGCATATTCGACAGCCAAAAAAAATAGCCGACCTGGAAAACAATTTTTTTGAAAATTTTTGGTAGAAATTTTTTGGATTTTGAAAAAATTTTTAGAAAGTTTTCGATTCTTAAATTGACGCAAACTAGTTCCAAAAACTAACTTTATTAAAAAAAAAACAAGGTTTCCACGGCTTAAATTAAGCATAAATAAGCTATTTTAAGTCTGCTCGCTCATCCTATTCGCTCTAAATTAGACCAAAAATCAAAAAATTCAAACAAGTTTTTCTGAAATTTTCTGACACTTTCTAGTGTCGTTCGAATCACGACTCAAATGGCTGTACAAATTGAATTTATTTCTGCGTATTAAAAATGTTGATATACTATGATTTTTGATATGCGTTCAAAAATAAACTCCGAAAGTAATTCCATGATTAAATATATTTAACACTCGATGTTGTTTGGAAGACTCTTATATCTATAATTCAATTCAAAGTGAGAGAAACAAGACTGCTCCTATCGTGTGACAAAATTTGAGAACTATGACATTATGACTTATCAAATTTATTTGATATTACAGAAAAAAAAAGATTTTTTTTTAAAGTCAGACAAATGTGATAAATTATGGAGTCACAGTTCTCAATTTTTTGTATATTCCGGAATTCGCTTAATCATCGACAAACACTGGAGTAAGGCAGCTATATAGGCTAATATAGGGCCTAAACTATTCAGTTAAAGTGGAACCACATATAAATAGATAAAATTTTGCAAATAATAATTTGACATAAAACAAACTGAAGGTGTCCACACTAACTTTGCATGTAACAAAGTCGAAAGCATAAAACCCCATTAAGCATAATTTATGAATTTCAAAAATTGCTAGATATATTGAGTTAGAAAAATTCTGAAAACGAGTTTCATAATTGTCATGTTTAAAACAAATATCTTTTTTCGGTTCTTTTGATGGACATAAAATCCAATAATGCATCAATTGTGTGAATTTATTACTATTCGAATGTCAAAGCACATGCTATCAAAAAGCTGTAAAGTTGCCCCAAAAATGGCACCAAAAATTGCGACTTAAATTAAGAAAAAAGAAAGAAATTTCTTTATGATACTTTAAGCTGACCTTAGTTTAATAATGGAAAAATTTTGAAATAAAAATAGATAAATTAAGAGGAAGAAAATTATATGAAGAAAAAAAAATCCGGAAAAAAACTAGTTAAGTTAACCGGAAAAAGATAAGATTTAGAAAGAATAAGAGGTAGAAATAAAAAATCAGATAAATTAAAAGCAAAATTTTTGAAAAGAAAAATTTCAAATAGGAAGAATAAATCAACAGGAAGAAGATTAGATATAAGACGTTTGAATGAAAATATTAAACACAGAGGTGCAGCTGAGCTAAGATACTGTGTCAAACAAAAATTCAAAAAATTTGTATAAATTGTTGCAGGCTAAAAAAGTAACGAAAATCATAAGGCTAAATTATTTTAAAAAACAATCACCCAACGCATAAAAAGGATTCGGGTTACACAAACTCCATTCTTTTTTCTCATAGCTAGTAAATGGAAATGATAAAATCATTCTTTTTTCTCATAGCTAGTAAATGGAAATGATAAAAAAACTTGGTAAAAAATTGCTTAAAATTTTGCTACCGACCAAACTGCGTATCTTACAGGAACAATTGGGGATAAAAAAGGCGCTTTCTGTTACTTTCTCTAATATGAAATCATACTGAAAAAAAATTGATGAAAAAATGAAAGCAAAAGTTGCAAACAATTGGCACCAAAAAAGAGCTTGAATTGCCATAAAAAAAATTGCAGATAATTTTTTTAAATTTGGAAAGCTTATAAACAACCTAATTACATCAAAAATGAAAATGGTAAGCAACGTTAAGATTGCTGGATCACACCAAAAAAAATTTAATAAGAAAGTCGGCCTTAAAAGAAACACAACTACCGACTACCCAACCAGTAGCTCTAGTCAAACTGTTAAAAAAGCCAATCGGCATATTCGTGCTGACGTGCAACTTGGCAAGTTGGGAATGGAGAGCTAAAACTGGAGATCTTGCGAACAAATTTACCAGCGGGTAAAAAGTCTAGTAGCCGTTTGCAATACCCTTTTGCATCCAGAGCCCTGAACAAACTCAAAAAACCGCAAAAATAGAAAATATACGACCGACAATTCAGAACAAACTTGCTTCCAGAGTAACAATTTGAGAAGCCAATGTGGGCGGGGATTAGACTAGATGGAAATCGGGTTGACCTCCATAAACCCAAAAAATGCTTGTCCAACAATTCCCTACACCGAAAACGTTTATCATACAATTCCATACATCAGGTGTATGGAAAAATGCTATTCATACAATTTTCTTATAATTGCAAATGAAGGCCAAATGAAGGTTGCAGCGAATGTTTAAAGAAAAGCTATATAAGTAAAGTAACCCCTGCCCCCCCCTCAGAAAAAACAGGTATCAGATAAGTGCGTCACAGAGGCACACACACCCCAACCTTCTCAAGAAGACAAGTGCTATAACCCTGAGTGCTCTACCCTAGGTCAGAAACTAGTTCGAATATTTTTTTCAATGATTTTTTGAAATTGTAAGAAAATTGTATGATTAGCATTTTTCCATACATTTGATATATGGAATTGTATGATAAGCATTTTCGGTGTAGGGAATTGTTAGACAAGCATTTTCGGTTTATCGAGGTCAACCCGGGCTATTTCCACCTTGGCGTCTCAAATTGTTACTCTTGATAGAGACACAAGACACCAACCGCAAGCTTATTCATTTATGAAGCCTTATTTTTGATTTCACGCACCACCTTACGTGCATGTCTTATTTTGCATATCTAAAAAAAATAAATTCCCTTTTTATAGCTTTGCGTCAAGTTTTTTTCTCAGACACGCTCTAAATAAAGCAACTGACGTCGGTATCTGGCACGACGTCGTCAATAATTCGCTATAAATTACCGCAGCAATTGGAATCCTAGAATTATTTTCAAATCAAGTCAAAAGAGCGGTGCCCCCCCCCCCCCACCCATCTGGCCATTGCATGGAGTATAACTGAAAAGACTCGAAGATTAGATAAATTGAAGGGAAGAAGATTCGATAATGGAAAAATATCGAGAAAGAAGATCAGATAAAGAAGAAAGAATGATTTTTATCATTTGCATCGAGAAAGATTAGAACAAGAAAAGATTAAACAAATGATCTATGGCCGTTTGAGGATATCACGACCTGCTCATGGCCATTTTGGTACTTTTTTGTGATTTATTTTTTATGCGGCCAACAGCAAAACTTTGTAAAGGAGCCTTCGGCGCAATTAAACTCTTTAGGTACAAGTATGGTAGTTGGCGGGTCCCAAAATTAAGATGGGTCCCTGAAGAAAAATTTTTAGGCCTTAAAGTCTTTGAAAACATGGTTCGCATTTGTTTACTTGTATTTTTGAACTCTTCACAAAAAATGCGGGATCTATCTTTCATATTTGTTTTTTCTTGGGTCCCACCATACTTGTGCCACTCTTTACTTAAGGGGTTTTCCAAAACGCCCAAAAACTGCAGTTTTTGCCAGTTGCTGAGTCGAACATGACAAAAATAGGATCTTCTCAATGAGAGCGAGGAGGGGGGTTCTAAACTTGAATATTTAATCACCTGGGTTTGGACGTTCCACAGTGCGCCATGAAAAGTGGCCCCCCATTATCATAGGCACACATACTCCCCCCAGACAAAATAGGGGTGGTACAGATCAAATCCGCTCGACAGGGTTGATCTACTTGGTATAACTCGTGTGAAGAGGTGTAATCTGATTCTTGAAAGAACACGTCCATCAAAACTGAGGAAAACTAAAATTGAATCCAACTTCCATCTTTTTCAAATTTTTTCAATTTTGTTACCAAAATAAAAATAAGGTTGCGTTGACGTTTTTTATTAGTATACTTGGTGAATGACAAGGAGGCGTGTCTGATCTAGACTAGACAATGGACTTAAAAACGAGCAAACAAACAAAGTGAAGGCTTTTTGAGGGGGAGGGTTCTCATGCTTGAAGGACCGAATGCTTGAAAAGTTTCAACCAATCAAAATTGCTAAGCGTTCCTATTGGCTAAATGCCTTTCTCGCAAAATCGAAATCAATACAGTGCTGATTTAAATTAACCCGAAAAAACGCGTTAAACTTGAAATTTAAAACGCATTTTTCTCAAATTGGGTTGTGTTTAGGTGAAAACTTATGAAGACAAAACTTGCTTAGAATTTTAGCAGAATTAATATGGTGTAATTTGTTTTGCGAAATTCGGGTCCAAAATTTTACCCCAAAAATGGGTCATTTTGGCTTTTCTTAGTTAATGGAAAATTACTCCAAAAATACCCAGTCGGTCACAGACATAATTATATCAAAGTGAGCCCCTTACGTAGCCCAACAAACTTTAAGAAGGGTATAATCTCCAAAATATTGTATAAGTTAATTTATTTTTGTTTGATAGAAAAAAAGGTCATTTTTACTATATAAAATACCAACTTTTTATTTAACAACAATTTTAAACAATATGCAATTTTTTTTTGAAGAAAATACCCTTCTTAAAGTTTGTTGAGCTACGTAAGGGGCTCACTTTGATATAATTATGTCTGTGATCGACTGGGTATTTTTGGAGTAATTTTCTATTAACTAAGAAAAGCCAAAATGACCCATTTTTGAGGTAAAATTTCGGACCTGAATTTCGCGAAACAAATTACACCATATTAATTCTGCTAAATCTCTAAGCAAGTTTTGTCTTCATAAGTTTTCACCTAAACTCAACCCAATTTGAGAAAAATGCGTTTAAATTTCAAGTTTAACGCGTTTTGTCCGGTTAATTTAAATCAGCACTGTATTAACCGAAAATAATTTAAATCAATGGAAAAATAATCAAAATATTACAAATTGCGGATTACAACCGCAATACTGTTCAGATAAACATCAAGATTTATGAGTTCAAGTTCATAAGAATTTTTCAGTCTTGAAAACTCATCTGCTAATTATCTAATCGGTCAGTATAAACATTAATGGCCTCAATTTATTTTCTTACTTTGAGATTTTCACGATTTATTTGAGATTTTGAATACTCAATTCTGATTGGCTGAAAGTAAGCTGAAATAAATTTCAAGCATTCGGTCCTTCAAGCATTAGGGACGCCACCCTTTTTGAGTATCTGAACAAATTAGGCGGTAAACGAATAATTGCTTCACATTAGGCGGTAAACGAATAATTGTTTCACATTTTGCATGTCCTCAAGTCGAATGAAAATAAGACTAACTGCTGGAACAGATAGTGATTCAATATTTGGACGATCACTTTCTTCTAATTGGGTTTCTTGTTTCTGCTTTGTTTGCGTTACTGCTTCTCATAAAGGTCTATTAAGTTCACTGTCTGGATCAGACCCGTCTCCTTGTCATTCACCAAGTTTACTTTTTTAAGTTTGCTGGGCTCTTCCGATTATAGACTTGCTGGGTCTGCTTAACGGTGGTTCTAAATAAGACTTAGAACCACATCTAATATTTATTCCTTTTATTTTGTTGTGTAAAATTAGCCGGGGAGCATAATAGGATAAGTCTTAGATATTTTAGTTTGTTTTGACTTCATCGTCATAAGAGTCCGGTCTCTATTTGGACAACCGCGTATTCAGACATTGTATTAACCAATCAGAATCGAGACAATGAAGAAATGAATTTCATATCTTTCTTTGTCTCGATTCTGATTGGTTAAAACAGTGTCTGAACACGTGGTTGTCTAAATACTGCTACGTAACCGTCGTCATAAGACTACACGTTTTTTTATAGCATTTTTTCATTTGTTTTTCCGCTGATTTTTTGGAGTTAAATCCATTTTTCTCACCCATAAAACTAAATCTAACTATGCCGACTCTTTATAATTTTGCTAGCAAAGGGTCAGATAAACATGAAAAGAACCCATTTTTTAAATATTAGCAACCCAAGAAATCTTTAAAATCACTTGAAATATGCCCAGAAATGTTTTCACCTTAAGTGAAGTGAAATGAAAAAATTTTAAAAGACAAAATTTTGAAAAGCTCAAGTTACTCAACAAAGGCCCGCTTAAAAACAATAAGCAACTTTTGGTTATCTGTGGATCAATTTGTTTTAAATTTGATTGTTGAAAAAAAATATATTTTTATATTTATCGCATGGAAAGATCCTCCCTATTCGTTGTCAATATATGAAATAAATATTTGCAAACATTTATACCTTGAAACAAAAATAAATCATTTTCGTTCTCCATAAAGCAAATCATCCGTAGTCTCATCTCAAAGTTTTCATTTACTTTTCTAAAAAAAAACAGTTTCTATTGTTTAAGATATAGAAAAAGTGGATTCCTGTGTTTTGTGTAATATAGATGTAGTCCCCATGCCTGAAGCACCAAGAACAACCCCAATTGGCGCCTTGTCTTCACAGGGTGGCAGAAACTGCGCGCTATGTTCGGATGGAACGGGGGAGGCTAGTTGCAGCAGAGAAATGTCGTGGGGGCATGGTCGGATGTTTGCACGAAATCTGGAAAAGATCAAAATTCTGATATACTTTGGGGAAATTTTGATGAAAACATACTTTTTAAAATTCATAAAGCTTTTTATGAATGGTGTTCCCTCAGAACGCCTGATCGTATGTTCGATAACCTTTGAATTTGAACTTGACTTCAGCCGCAGAAACAAATTACAAACTAATAAAATACTCACTGAGTCAGGGATACTATACAAGCAGATATGCCTATCTAGTAGCACTCCATGCCGGTTCCCTTTAAATAGGGAAAAATGTGCGAAAACTTTAAAGTAATTAGAAAAACAACAGATCATAGAATTTCCAATTATCTCTAAAAGTATAATTACAATATTGAAGTTTGCAAAAAAAAATCTTAAAATCAGTCCTTTTCATTACATTTTTTTGGA